AGTGTTTCACATATAGGCATCGAGAAGGATTACGGTAGCCAACTGCAAAGTGTTATTCAGGAATATTGGGTGAATCGTCCACTACTGTGACCACTAAGATTTTGTATCTGCTCATGCATACTTGGCTGAATTTATGGCATAGTGTCTCTGCCTTTCGGAAGGAGAGATGTCATTAGTTCTCCAGTTTGTTTCCTCTACTTTCCTAAATTTTATGTACGGTATTCGCTGTCCCAGCGTGTGCATTCAGAGCGCCACCTGGCATATTTTCTAACCACCGAATAATAACAAGTCAACATAAAATTTTTATGAAATACGTAGATGGCACAACAGTACTAGCGTTACGTTGATAAATAACGAGAAAGAGTTGACAGCTCATTTCATCGGCATTTCATGTGTAAAAAAAACTAGCCTCACTATAACTCGTGTAGCCAGAAAGTGATATATTTATACATCCAAATAGCCAATTTTTTGCATGACTGTTTTTAGCCCCCTAAGAAAATTAGCCTGTTCAGTTAGGCGCGAAAAAAATCCTTTTACCACCTCTGAGTGCATATCCAATTGATCTTGTTGAAGATGAGAAAAGTATCGTTTCACACGATGATCCATATTGATGCTTGAATCACGCACCACACAATGATTAGTTCTTAATGTGTTTCGGCCTTAGAGACACATTTCGCACTTGGCTGCATGTATGCGCGAACAGAGATTAGCAGACGATCAATGATACCACATTCGATCCGGTTGTTGAGTGAGCAAACCTGGAAGCTACTGACTTAGTCAACCGTTTGAATTACAATTTATTTGCCATTCATTGATCCATCAATCTATAAATCAATTCACTCATTCATCTTGAGTCAACCGAAGAACGTTTGATTAAATATCAGTGGTATCGAGAAGACGTATTCAGAGGTGATTCCGCGAACCTTGCTCAGTATTAATTGCGCCACTTTCTTCGCCAGGCTGTTATCGTCCATTTGTTTGGAGTAGCCAAAAGGTTGCAATCGTTTCGTCGGTGGTTGTTGCTCTGATAGTATCATATCGAAGACGTGCTTTACTTCTGGGCTCAACACGGTCATTTTTTCTGACTTTGGTCACCAACTAAAGTATGATCATTTGAACTGGTTCTGGCTTTTGACGCTGGCTTTATTGCTGTTCGCAAGCCATAAAGCAGGTAGTCAGAATGTTAACTCTATGACGCGTAGGATACATTACATCTGAATATTCGCATAGTCTGCTTAACTTTCTTCAGACAGGCAATGCTAGTCATCTCTTGACTTATGG